GCACGAGGATGCCACTGCCGTGGCTGGAACCGCATTAAGGGCTAGCATCTGTGCCCACACGTGTGAAGTCACTCAGGAGAAAGGAAGCCACCCAGGGAGTTGTGAAATCGGATTGTCTGGAGGTTTGCAAACAGATAGAGCCGTGGTCTTTCTTCGGGACCATCTTGTAGGATCAAATGGAATGACAGTCCCTTTCTGGTTGCTTTTATTCCTGTGACCCCTTGGAACAGAGTATCATTCTGCCGATCTTCAGACCAATATAATTCACTACTATTTTCTATGCTCCAACATGAGAATTGAACAGGTTTTTTTTTTGTAATGGTGTATTAGCCTTTTTCTGAGTGGCTTCTAATTCTTTTAGCTCTGTAAATGCTCACTTTAGATTTGCAGACCAGCAGTAAGACGGATGAGCACTTAGTGGGCACGTCGATGTACTAAGCACTGTATGTTAAGTGCTTTATGGGTGCTATGTGACTACAGGCAGGCCCCACGTTATACACATCCAACTGACGTACATCCTGTAAAGCTATGAACCAACCCTGTAAAGCCTGGTACGATAAACACTGGAGGTTCCTACAGCAGTGTCGGATAACAAGCAGGTGCTATTATATTACGATGCACAGCGTCATTATAACTGTATTACTATGTGAAAGATGTCTTAGTGTGTCTGTATCTTTAATGATTTTAGGCACAGAAAGGTATGTGGTATAGTAAAACAAGCACTAACTGAAGTTAAATCGGGACCATACCAAACTCTTCCCACTTACATACACATTCAACTTAAAGACAGATTTAGGAATAAATCTTATTTGTAATCTGGGGACTGCTTTGTATTTTGGGGTACTAACTCATTTGAATAGTTCAGTGGTCCACGGGTTTTGTATTTTAAATGTGCTTTGTGGTGATCCACCTTGAAAATCAAACAGCCCTTTTAAGAGTCGAGATTTTCACTTGATTCACTTAAGCTGGGGCTTTCCTGAAAATGTAATATACTATTATATACTTGGGCATAATTGTTTCATATGTGACATATAGTTTCTATTTTTATAATTTCTAAAAATCCATCATTTTCCACAGCAATTTTAGTTAAATGATATCAACTAAAATCTAGTTAGCGCATACTGTGTAGCAGAAGAAAAATTTCTTACACAAAGTATCTCATTTAATTCAATTCTTACCCTAAGAAGTAAAGATCCTTTCTCTATTTCACAAATAATGATGATAATAATAATAACACTAACTTTCAAATGTGTAAGAAACTTGCCTGGACAGTAGGAGTTGTAATTCAGACCTGGACCCAAACCTTAAAATCTACTGCAGAACAGCAGTGAATTTTGGTCCTTCTCATTCAAGATCATGAGAAACGATTTTGTCTCTCCCTCCAGATAGGAGGATGAGAACTGGTTCTTCCTCACACGAACTTGAACTGCTTCAAAAACATCCTGGAACATGGGCCTGAAATGACTTGGGGATGTGTGTGGGTGTGGAGGGAGCCCATATTTTAGTTGTCCACCTAACTTCAAGGAAATAGCATGATTTGGCAGGGAACATAATGAACATTATGATTAGTGTGTGCCTGCCACTCCATGCCCGCTCACAGCGGCCCCCCAGGACAGAAGAGAACTGCCCCATCAGGGTCCCTCGGCTGGTACTCTTTACAGGTGCAGGTTCCCCAAGTCTTCTGTCCTCGCGTGAAGCCAGCCACTGGTGAGTCTGAACTGCCATCCCTTGGGTTAGCAGCGGGGTGTTTAACCACTGTACCATGAGGGACCCGTATATAATGAAGACAACCCACCTCATAATCCAGTTACATTTAAAGGACGGCTCTAGGCCACAGACTCTGGGGAACGTTTCCAACGCTGAAGGAGGAAGTGGTTTGAACTGTGCAACTTAGTCCCTCCGAATCTACAGACAGGCTCCTCCCTGGGGAGGGCCCAAGGGCCAGTGCCCAGGGACGGACACACAAAGCTGACTCCAGACAGCTCGGTGCCAGGAGTTCATCAGTTGGCACAGGGCCACGCCAAGAACAAAGCTAGGTCAGTCGGGGCTCCTGCAGTTCCCTGACCATCCAAGACTAGTTGTTCCTTGCTATTTCTCTACACGCTGACAAGAGGGATTTTCTGTTCTCTCCTCTTTCATGTTTATACAGACCCTCCCACGCTGGCACCATGCTACCTCCCCAGCAGCCACTCACAGAAATGTTCCGGGCAGGAGGTCATAAACCAGACTGAGCTGTCAGGTAGAGGCAGGGCCCAAGTTACTAATGAGAGCGGCTCCCAGGTGTGCATCTCAGAACAGTGGGAACAGGTGCATACGGTTCTTATTTCGCCTCTGCCTCTCTCACTTTGAGGAGCTCTGGGATGGGGTTGGCTACAAGGCGGGCTGCCTTCCACAAGGTCTGCAGTCTAAAACACCCCAAATGACGAGGCCGTCTGCTCCCATCACGACTGACAGCTTCGGAAACCTTGAGGGGCAGTTCTTCCCTGTCCTATAGGGTCACTGTGCATCAGAATCAACTCGGCGGCTGGGAGTTGGTATTGACTTTCTCCTACTCTCGTGCATCAGGAAACCTTTTCAATGAGTTACAAGTGGTGCACGCTGCAGCAGGTTGTGAGGAAGAGTTTGCTGTGATAGGGGCTGGTTCTAGCTTTTAAAGCAAGGCCTGAGTTGCCCAGTAAATCGAATGGTATTCAGCTCGGGGACTTACTCTAGTTTAAAGCTTTCCTGTGGCCCAGGTGAGCCAGCATCTACTCTTAGCTCTTTCTCTGAGCAACGGAGAAAGTTGTGCTGCATTCGGCTATAAGCATGCCTTGTCGAGGGCCTACTCAGCACAGTAAGCACAAGCCTACTTGTGCTTACTTACTAAGATATGGGGAACGCGTTTACATTTTTTCCCACCTTCTCAAAATCCTGCTTCTAGGTATGACTCCCAACCCTCTTACATCTTTCCTGTCGCACCTAGTCTCTTTTCGAATGTACAATTCCTGGCTGGGGTACCCAGCAAGCCAAGTAAGCACAGCTTAATTTTTTTTAAAAAACCCACACAGATTAGTAAAAAAGTATAAGTCGGCCTGTGTTTCCCTTGTTTCCTGGACATTCCACCCCTGTAACATGTTTTAGGGAACCATCCGTAAACTGACTCAAAATAGTTTGGCTGATCTAACCCATCACGTGAAACATCAACAGTAAGGACAACCTATTGAGGCAGCGCCTGGTTGGTGTCATTGGCTCGTGGTGTTTCTAATGGTCTTCCAGGTGAATTTGCAGAGGCCAACAACCCCGCAAGAACACCCTACAAATGCATCTCTCTCTCTCTCTCTCTCTCTCTCTCTCTCTCTCAGGCTGCACTCCCTCCCTGCCGTCTTTCCTCTGGGCACTGCCAGGACACAGATAACAAAGATTTCGGCCACAGGGGATGGGGCAGATGAGTGCCCCAGGTGCCCCAATCCAGAAGCAAGTTTGCACAAGGCAAACGTTGGCACGATGTAAAACAATGATCTCCCTGACTGGACTCAGCTCATCACCCAACACCTCGCTCTCCCCCTGTGCCTTACTCATCCCTCTCCTACCGTCTGTCTCTGGATGTTGACTTCAAGGAGACAAGGGTTCTGGCCAAGGGCGACGATGACTAAAAGCCTCAACTCTGCACAGTGCCCCAGTAGATAGCACTGGGTGCGTAAGAATCACAGCGGTGGTCATATGGAGGAGCGGCAACACGGTTTGCCAAAGAACCTCACGGTCCCCCCTCCACCCCTCCTTTTGCCTTACTCACCCCCGTGGGAGTCCATCTGTTGCCGAGAATAGGAAGGCACTAGGACCAAAGAGCCCCTTCCTGCTATTTGCTTGAGGAGCAAAGGTTCCCCTCCTCCCAAGTGGAATGAAAGAAGGGAGTCTGAACTAATCAACACCTGCCAGCCCGCTGGTGGTGCTTCAGCTTGTCAGGGATGCAACTCAGCGGAGAGAGTAACGGCTTCGAGCTTCGCAGAAAACGAGAGAGGGCGAGAGACAGACACAGAGACACAGAGACACGAGAGAGAGAGAGAGAAAGGCATTAACCTGGCCAGGAGTCGCACAGGGGTACAGGGCCCGAACACGCGGAAGAATGTCTGGGAAACGGGGGTCCCATGGCGTGTGTGCCTCAGGGAGCTGAGGCCCTTCTCCCCACACCTGCAGCGGGGGCAGTGTGGTAGGGTGTAGGTTCGGGCATCCTGCGTGTGTCTGCCCTTGTTGTTGTGTTACGTAGTGCCCACAAGGCCCATAGGGTGAGCGGAGAGACCCTTCTGTGGTTCATATCAGTGGGAACCTTCTAGCTCTCTCCAACGACTTACCCTTCTGCACGGTGGCCGGGCGAGCATGGAACTGGGACAGGGAGGGTGACCAGGGTGGCCCTCTGCTTCAGGGAAAGGCTGCCTCAGGGCTATGTGCTGCCATTAATACCACTCCAGGGCCTCAAAGCACTTACTGCCTCCTCTCTGATGGGGATCTGAGGTTAGCCAAGTACTTCTCTCTCTCTCTCTCTCTCTCTGGGAACCGGCTAGCTGGGACTCCTGGGATGGAAACCCACCAACCTTTACGAATTTCAAATGGGGAGGAGGCAGGGGGGCTGCGCCACCAATCCATCGTGTGGGTTACAGGCAGAAGTTAGGAAGAGAAAGGAGCGCAAGCAGAGGAAGACCCGGCAAAGACCCCCTGGAGAAAGCCCTGGCTATGAGACCGTGCCCACCACACCAAAGGCACGTCCGTCGGCAGGGGCCCGGCCAGGTGGCAGTGCACGTCATCTCAAGAAAGTGATGTCCACTTCCGTGGGTTCTCAGGCTCTTGACTTACAAATGTTCTCGTGTCTGGTGATACTAACATTTCCTGGTTGGCGGAACCTTGCCCACTTGCTTCTATCCCCTGGGTGCAGCTAAAGACAGCCTGGGCCCATCCCGCTCCCCCACCCCACCCCCACCCCGGCCCCTGTCTCCAGGGTGGGCTTTAAGTACAAGCACGGTTTTTACCTGAAATGCGCCTGGGCACATCGGTGATGGCAGGAAGGCCAGTGCCCCGCGTGGAGGACAGCGGAGTGGTGGAGTGGATGGACGGAGACGTCATCTGGCTCAGGTAGGAGGGATAGGACTGGTCATAGGACCACGGTGGGGAAGACTGTGCCTGCCTGGGGTCTGGGGGCAAGAAGAAGAGGCATCAGTAGGATATCACCCGCTGCAGCCTGGCACACACACAACCCGAAACTCGGGGGAAAGCAAAGAGAGAGAGAGAGTACACAGAGGATGACTACCTC